GCTGCACAGTATCTGTGTGTGAAATTCTCTAAAGGGGTTTAAGTATTTACCCTGAACACTATCAGACAGTTTCTAAAATTTTCTTATCCTGTTGCAAAAACACTTCAAAGAGAATCATAAACACAGTCCTTTGTGCTTTCAGCACACACTTTGTTTTGGAAGCTTAAGTCTGAATTCCCTCAGAACTGTAAATATTTTTTTTTCTGAAAGATGTGCAATACAATTTTTTTTTTTTTTAAAAAAGATTGATAGTGATTCTACTACACACAATGCTGAATCCTTTCGCCCACTTCTGACAGCTAAAAATATTGGGGTCAAGGAAATTAGTGTAAAAAAAAAAAAAAAAAAAAAGAAAAACAAGTCTTCAGGATCAGGTTTTGTTGTTGTTGTTGTTGAAGATAAAAGGTACATTTGCAGAAACATCTGACTCCTAGTGTACATAAAATATAACCTGCCAAAAATACATTTATTTAAAGGGTCTGGCCTTAACAGATAAGAAGAGCCCCAAAAGACAAGAAATATGGCTAAAATTTGGGTCTTTGAGCTGCCACATTGTGCTTACATTTCACAGCTCATTAGGCAAATACGATCGCCCATCGCCGCATGGCCCTCCAATAGAGGAGTGTGACACTCCAGTATCTAAGCACAACGGAAAGCTAAAAAAGAAATTAAAATCATACCTCAGAATTTCTTGAATTTTGGCTGACAAGGTCAAACCAATTCAAACGTCAGTTAAGTTGCTCTGCATTTCTGAAAAAACACTTGACAACCAACCAGCCTGTTTGTGATCCCATTATCTATTTTTTTTAACATAATTGGTTAGCTGTCTAAAATGCCAAAGTCTACAAAAGCTAGGAGGATTCCTTTTTAAAGCATATTTTGTCTTATAGCTTTTCATGGTTATTCTGGTACTGAAATACTCTGATTTAAATACATATTTAAACCCTTGTTTTAATTTCAGGGAAAAAAAAAATATTATGGCCCTGGGCTGAGATTTTGTAGCTCAAGTTTCAGCCTAGACTCAATTCTGACTGTCAGGCTGTAAACCCCCGACAATAGTGGCTTATAGCAGAAACTATGACATACTTCATATGTAGCAATCGTAGCAAATAATTAAACAGACCTCAAAAAGGCAAGAAAAATAATTTTACAAAAAAATAGCCTTGCTCTCTGATTTCAGTTTAGCTGTACAAATTGATAAAAGCATGCTATTGAGAATAACAGTAATAATATCATGACCAGTAAATAAAGTTTTTAAAAAGTTTTACAAATCAAGATGAAAACTGTGCAGAAAGATACCAGTTTGCATGAAATGTCGCTTTGCTCACTGTAACTACACATGGCATACACACTTCTGCTTCTACACTTCATTTCTAAATTAAAAGGTGTGCTGCATTTCATTATCATTAGCTGTGTTTCAGGATGCCAAAAGGTGAAACAAAGGGTATAGCAATTACTTGTGTTTCAGTTATACCACTAAAAATCAGTTCTTTAAGATCTGTTTCATTCCTTTAAGTAGACACTTTATAGTAGGCAAACAGTTATGCTGTTAAATATAATTCCAAACCAGTTGTACTTTTCTCTGCGTTCTAGTTCTGCAATTTTTTTCATCTTGCTAAATTCCTGCATAAATAGGTGGGATTAAATGGAGCCTAGTCTACCTAACATAATTATATATGTTGTGATTTTATACTGCAATGAAACTGATACATTTTAATAATCCCAGTCTTGGCTGTTACCCACTAAAGTCAATAAAGGTTATTAAGGCCAACTGCCATATAAATACATTGCTCCATTGCTAAATGGACTGTCAAAGCAGGAAATACAATTCACACCATATAGCACTACAAGGGTCTTTTTTTTTTTTTTAAAGGAACACTAGAAATGTTAAAAAAAGTCTTTAAAGATTTGATATTTAAGTATAATCATATATGTTTACTTTTCATTGCACAAACAAAACTCATTTCATTGTTTTACATTTCACTTACTGAAATGTGAATCAGCCTAAAACAAAATAAACGAAAAAAGGCTGTAGGATTTCTGCAGCTCCTACTGATTTGGCAGGGTGTTAGAAGATTTTCATAGCTAAAATAAATGTCAGATTGCAAGGTTTGCATGATATCAGACCCTGAGAGACAAATTGTCTCTCCACTGAATCTCAGAACAGCTACAGCAAGACTTCCTCACATCACATGAGATTTCAGCTTTTCAGACTTCTCTTTACCCAGAAAGCAAAGCTTGTACAGTCTTTTTTCAAATGGTAACTCTCCCTTTGAATTCAGCAAGCATTTATCCTGATGTTGCAGATGATAACGTGTTAATCTTGGATGACTTTTAGAAAAACCCCTCAAACATTTGAATAGCCTTCATATTTTCAAGGGAGGGGGAAAAAGAGAAGAAGATTGGTTAAACTGCTTTGGATTTAATGGTTCATAAATTCATGAGGTAATATTGTGGGAAATGCGATGTTTTATCAGAATGTCATTCAAATGAAAGGTTTAACATTTACATCACAAGAGCGAGCTCTAAGTAAAACTATCCTCAGGGAAAGAAATGCCAGGAATAAACATTATGATAAAATTGTGAGCTTGCTATAATGTACAAAAATACTAAATAAAAGCCCAAAGGTTTGAAGACACTGGGTTAAACTTCCTGCAGAATCATACTTGGCTGTGCAACTGGGGCAATTACAATTAGCAGAATCAAAAATTACTTTGGCAAACTTTATTTTCTTCTTTAAGGCTGCATTACTATACAAGGGGAAAAGAAAAAAAAAAGGCACTCAGGGAACCCAAGACTGACTTTTATATCACTCTAGACACATATATAAAAATATATAAGTCAGAAGTAGTTCAGCTCACAGACAAATGTAAAAAAAAAAAATAAAAATTGCTTAAATATTTTCTTTTAAGAAATAATTCCTTTTAAGCAATAATACTCTACCAAGACAAAAATCAACAACTCTAAGACATTTTTAATTTAAGCATTTTGCCACAATTTTTTTTTCTTAATTTAAGAATCACACAGCTCAAATTATAAATGTGGAGAAAAACCATCGACTGTAGACTACTGGGTACCTTCAGAAATACCTTTTTGATTTAACTTAATGCTGTGGAAGCTAAGCATGCACCAAAACACTGCATTTTTTATGTTAAATTGCTGTTGAATTTGTTAACCCACAATTGATTTCCTGTGTTATGGAATCTTAGAGATTACAGCTAACTTGAAGCAACAGGGATAATTCTTGATGCTAATGCTACATTTCTGTGTATTTTTATTAAGTCAGAGCCCGTTGTTGCATTAAAACGCGGCTCAACATTGCCCCCTACTGTCGTCTTGTGAAACACTAAAGGGCAAAATGTAGGGTAACCCCCCCAAACCCCACCCTACCTCCAAGTCTCAAATACAGTAAGCATCAAATTTACTTAGAGACTCAACAAAACAGACATTCTCAATTAACATTCTCTTCTGTCTCCTTCAATAGCTGAAATTAATTGTGATTAATATGTTATAAGTCATAATACGTTAAAGCAATTTTTAAAATTTAAATTAGAAGCAGCTTCTGTCTTGGCCCAACCTTCAGTTTGCTGATAAATATCATCCTGAGGCCTGCTGAAAGGAGATACACTGACGCCACCATGTTTCTAATTGGAGACACATGGTAATGTCACACCAATTGCAGAAAACCTAACCCCTGAGAATTCCCGAGTTTGCTGTTTTTCCATGTTCTCAACACACAATGGATATAAAACAACAATCAAACATTCTTGTCTCTACCTCATCTAAGCCTGTGTTACAAGAGAGTAAGTTGTCATTTGAAAGAAAAACAAACCAAAAGATTTTTTTAAATTATGAAGGTCACTCAGGAATGTGAGCACATAAGAACACAAAAATGAGGAAAAAACCCCACATAAACAAGTTATAAATAATTTCTCTCCTTTTGTAGGAAAGTTTAATGTTCAATGATTCCTTGTGGCAACTGATTTCACAAATGTAAGTTCCACTTTTCCACACTTATTTTCCCAGTCTGAAGCCAGCCATTGCTGGAAAAGCTTACAATACCTTTGAGCAGTTTAGCAAGTCACTACATTTCCTTCAAAACTCAAGAGCATATTCCTGTGGCACCATACCTCCAGAGATACAAGAACACCTCTACTACAAATCATATTCAGCATCCTCATCTACATTACAAACTTTCCCAAATCAACTACCAGCAAACTGAGGCTTATGCTGTGACCAGCAGAAATAACCGAGAAGAAGCTTCTAATGCAGACATAAGGATATGAGCAAGACACGTTTGTCAGTATAGTTCCTTCTGTGTACAAATCCAGAAGCAGGCATGCTGGTAATTGTATCAAACACTTACGCTAGCAAAGTCTCCCAAATGAGTCTCTACTTGGACAGCAACAGCAGCCAGCCTAACAGCGTTTGTCACAGAGTCCATTTTCAAGGAAAGCAGGGATATGCTTTCAGTTATACAGGAACCAGTATCACTAAAATTATTCAAGGAACTAGTCTCCTCTTGGTTCTAGCTACAGTGTTAAGTGTGCAGGTGGACTACAGAGTTGTACCTCCAGATCATCAGATTTTACTCTCAACTTTCCTCAGACGCATTCACCATTGTTGTCATTGGCAGAGCTGGCTAGCTTGGTGTTGTATGGAAAAGCTGACAATGCACAGTTTCATGTACCAATTGGTGTGATGTAACATATGACTGACATCCTATGGGGCTGTCAAACATTAAAAACAAGCAAAGTCAGGAAATCACTAAAATCTCCTCTTTTTTTTTTTTTTTTTTTTGAATCTTATTTTGCTCACATTTCTTCTGGCTACTGAGGGAGAAAAAACAAGATGAGGCAGTGGAAAGCTGACATCAATTCTACTTTTCAGATGTTCTGAATAAAGTTTAAATCCTGTTACTACAGTACAATTAAAAACATAATTGTGAGTTCTCTCAGAATTAAGCTCTAGAGGCTTTAGACTATAAAACTAGTACTTACCATAATCTCCATTTTTCTCCAGAATTCTTCCAATTTAGCCATAGGCTTAAGCCACCAATCAGTGCATTTCAAATACCGCTTGCCTTGAAACCAAAACTGCCTAAGCCACTCAAATTCAACCTGCAAGATAAAAACACATGGTAGCATAAACATCTATGTTCATTATTTAGGGCAGGAATGGGATAATGCATGAATCCAGCTATACCTGAACAATCCCATAGAAAGAGAGAAGGTTACCAAAACACCAATTTCTAAATGTACCCTTACACCCAGCTATTTATTTTATTTCTATTCCACAGGAATTTGTGTCCTGAGCTACTCCCTTCAAACCTAGAGAGGTGCAAAACCCAACTCTTTTCTTTACATGTTGCACCGGTACAGAGAACATTAGAAGTGCAGGTTTACTCACAATTCAGTCAAATATGTACCAACTCTGGCTTATTTTGATTAACATTGTGGGTTTGAAAATACTTCAGTCGTATAAAAGATTGAAAAAACTTGCAGTAATGAAATTGCTAGAATGCAACCTAGTCAACTGCTATGGAATGAGAGTGCAGCATTATAATGAATCATAGTTCCTCATACTTTACCAAACAATCTGGTTGCCAGATTGGCTACCAATAACTTTTGGATTAAACAGGTCTCAGCAAGAGACATGAAAGCGTCCAGCTCAGGCAGACCTGCAGGGGAGAGGGGTGTCCCGAAACTGCTCGTGCTCCCTCTGCCGGGTCTGCTGTTACATCAATACCCTCTGACACACAACGTGCGCACACCAGGAGCGAAAAAGCAGGTTTCAGGTTTTTCTAGGACAAAGCTTGTGTAGAAACTGTGCTTTACAAAGAAAAAAATCCCCTACTGAAGCAATAAAAACTCCATCAGGAGCAAGATAATACATTTATTTAGAATCTGAAACAGCTAATGATTTAATACTTTCCTAGTTGTGTTTTTAAAAAAATTTCATGCATGAACAGCCCATCAACTTTAAGACATGAGAAACATTAGCTTACTAAAAACGAATATAAATATATAACTCATCAAATATTCTTTAAGCAAAATAATTCCATTTATCCTAATTTCCACTGAGCCTTCTTTCCTGTAATAGTAATCCACAACTCTGGTCTTTAGAATTCTGTATTTAACTTTGTTGTGGTAGTTATGTTTCACACCGAGTTCAAAGCTGCTTTAATCATTATTTGTACCACAAAGAAGTTTTTGTTTATCGCTGCTCAGCTCCAATGATGCAAACAAAGACAACCTGCCAAGGTGAAAGAATCAAGAAAACTGCCCAAAGACGTCACTGAACACTTTCTTTCCTGCAAGGGTGAACAGAATGGCTACAGAAATCTGGAAGTGTTCCAGCTAACATTAAACAATGTTTGGTCAATATATGTTAAAGATTACAATAAAAGATACTTAAAGTTGAAGTGTGCAAGAAGAATATTAAAGCAACTTTTTTGGTAAAATATAATTACATGATTAGTTGGCAGACATAGATTTTAAAATCTTTTCAAAAAACCTGACTGCTAGCCTAGTGACTTTTTAGCACAGAAGTTTGACGACATCCTTCCTAAATAAAGCTGAAGGAAAGTTTCCTTCCTTTATGGTATTAACAAGATATGAAGGATCAAGTTATGGTTTGTTAAAAAAAAAACAAAACCAAAACCCAGTATACACAGTTTTGGGAAGGCTGAGCATATTGACAGTTCAATTAGAGTTGTAAGCACTCAATACTTTTTTTTGTTTTGCTGGCCTCTACCATGAAAGGGTTATATCACATGATGTCTGGCAAACATGTTTCATGAAATGAGTCACATAAGGCTGTTAATCAATGAAAAAAGTTTCAAAAAAATTAAAATCAATGTTACAATATGGCTCATCATGAGCAGAACCTATTTCAGTTTACCTGATTTTTGACTAGTCATACTGATTTGTTACATTAATCTATGTAATTTCAGTCCAATTCAAGTCTGGCATCTTCGCCAAATTTTAATTGTATCTTGATCCTATAGAGAATATACAATTTGACACAGAAGAGCTGCTTTTTAGGTGCAAGAGGTAAAGTTTAGCAACAGGCTAGTTAATTTTCCGCAGGATTAGCTGGTCTCATCAGAGGTCAGTGTACCAAATTGCAACATCTGGCTGTTTAATGATGTGGACTACCATTTACTAGGGCTCTCAAACCCAGGTCCACATTCATCTCACAATGTCTCTGTGACCCCAAATGGAGGTTGGGGAGAAAAACAGTGTTTCACCCACCAACTTAGCCATCCAGCTGCTTGACAAGTGACTGCTCTGAACTATCACCTCTGAACAGATAACTGTTGATTTGGAAAAAAAAAAAAAAAATCTTGATGAGGCGATGCTGACATGATTTCATTATCACTCTATCTTTGTTTTAGCTATATGCAAGCATAAATACTTTGTTTTGCTGGTATTTTTAATTAATACATGAACACTTTTTACACCACATCCGTTACTAAGTATGTGTTTTAACAAGAACATATGCTATCTGCTTTCCAAGTGCTCTTAGAAGCTCTACGTCCTCTTGCTTTCACTGACCTCTATTCAGTAGCATCTTTTCCTGTTGCAGGAAGGCACTCCTATTGGCTTGCCTCCTTCCACAAACAGGAGCTGTACCAGGAAAAAAACCCACAACAGCAAATACTGGAGAGACAAAAAGTTCAGTTCTAGCCTCAGTGGAACTGAAGTTACAGAACATTCATCTTCTGTGACAAAATTAATCTTCTGTGCCAAGGATTTTGTCAAAGCCTTTTAATTTGGAGACTCCCATATATCAGAACTAACTGTAGTTATCATTAGAAAGCATTTTACATGACTGAACAGGACAAAGCTTAAACATATTAACGTATAAAAAGATATACGCTGAGTGTTTGAGGAACAATTTTCATCTCCTAATTAATTTTCACTTATGACTTACATCTGTGCAAATAAGCTCGGAATCAGGCCTCCTGTGTCTAACCTCAACATATTTGCAAGTTGTCCTTTAAACAATGATTAAAGGCCAATTTTAGGTTATAGTCAATACTGGGTAGTAAAAGGCCAACAGTAGCATTTGACATTTTGTGAAGCAGTGCTCCTCAGTCAATTATTTAAAAGTATTGGTTATTAAATGCCACACGTGTAGGTGATCTATATTTTCTCTCTGCCGTACTAGCCAGTCACCAACCATGCTGTCAGCTCACTGTGATGTGCTAAAACATATTAACCTTCCTTTGGCTGCCTACACCGCTACCCTTTCTCAGCAGTGACCTCAGTGTCTAACACCATATACCTTCAACTTAGCTAGCCCAGGCTTCTCTACATCCCTGTGCATTCACCACACTTAAATTTACCTACAGCTGCCATAAAAATAGATTTGCTGTAGGCAAAGTGACTGTACCTCACAAGCAACAGAGCAACCAATTCAGTCTCAAGTTTTAATCATGGTAATCAGGATTTGATAATCACGGCTGAGCAAAAACCCTGATGAAGACAAACCCCTACCTTTCAAACCTGAGTACTTACTTTGAAGCCTGCTACATTTTCAACACAATCCCCAGATGCTAAAAAAAAGCTTCCTCTAGTGTTTTACCTCATAGAGAGCATCCAATTATTAGTTCGGTGTTGGCAAATAAAGAAGCCTTGAAACTACCTCACACGGCATGAACTATTACCAGATTTTGCATTACTCAGAGCAAGGAAAACAAATTTTCTTTGAAATGTGAAGAATAGGCTGGCGATGATCTTTTCTGCAGATTTATTTTTATATGTATGAGCATTTACATCATCTGTCCAGCAGTGTTTTATTACTTTAAAAAGCATTTACTTGCCAATGGGTTTCCCTAGGTCCCCTGTAGCTCTGTTTGGGACATACCCAGCAGCTGTATATATTTTGGAAAGCCAGGCGTGATTCAGTAGGGGCAAGAGGGTCACATTCAGTGAACTCTGCAAGATCATTTATTTCAGGATAAATTATTACTGGCCAAACAGCAATCTGATTGCTTAAAGGGGTAACTTCACTCTCTAACACTATGTGTGCATTGTTAGGCTGTTGCAGTTCACAGCTGCCCAGGTAATTACTTCTGTTCACCCTGCTACACTGTTCACCAGATAGCCTGCCACTGAAGTGTTTGTTCTGACTTCAAGCCCAGAAGCTACCCAGACAAGCAGCACGTGAACACCCTTAATTAAGGTTATCTTTACTTAAAACTACAAAGTACACATTGGGATTGAAGTGACTCACACATCTAACAAACAGCACACAACCTCGCAATTACTCAGATATTCCTTTGAAGGCTGTTTTAGTGAGGGAGACCACGACAACAAAGCTAAGTCTAAAGAAATATTAAACTTCTACCTGGCTGCCCGCTAGAGACGCTGAAAACCTCCTCAGGTTAGCATCTCACTTTTTCGACAGGAAGACCTCTGTCAAGACATCCAAGAGAGGGCTCTGACAAATGAACTCTGGGAAATCCAACATCAGTAAAGACATCCCCCAGATACTCACCCATACCTGTCTTTTAGAGGTTTCTCTGCCCACCACAAAAAAGGAAAAAGTTAAGTCTCTAGCTATGCTTCAGATAGTCAGTTCAAACCCACTTTATCAGCACAGCAAGTCAGTTTTCCTGCCCAGGAATACAGAAGTGAAGGCACAGAATCATACCTCATTCGTTCAGACTTGCTCTTAGGTTTTTTTCCTCTCTAGCAGACACAGATAATTCATCCAGACCTCATTTGGCAGAGCAGTTAATTTCAGCACAGACTGTGAATCTGTGCTAAACTACTATATTTTAGCTTAGTCACACATAGCCTGATGGTACTGTGATGGTTCTGTTCTGGCTAATGATCTCTGATGACTACTTCAGAGGTGCCAGCAAGAGGGGTAAAAAAACCAAACCTGTAGCATTTTGGGAAGCAAAAGAATCTAGAACAGTGGCTGCATCTAATAACCTGAGTTAAACCCTGTGAAGAACTTCAGTTATGATAATATTTGAAAGTAAAATACAACTGTACAGCCTCCTCTAGAGATGGGAATACTAACTAATTTCATGCTCATGATCTCTGGTCCAGAATAACAGAAAAAAATTCACAAGGAGTTTTAGAACTAGCACAGAAAGCTGTGTATCAGAACAGAGATAAACTGGCAAAATTGGGTGGCAGTTCTTTATTAATTCTATGTTTGGCTTTTCGTGTAATCTTGTCTTTTTTATTTAAAAATACTAACAAACTAAGGGGGGAAAAAAAAACCCCAAACCACCAACAAAACCAGTGACCAAATCCTGACCACACCAATCAAATGGAAGACTCATTTGCATCAGTAAACCGTCCGATTTTTTAAAGAAACAAAACGTGTTCTTGTTCTTCACCTGCCTGAGAAAATTTGAACCTGAAACCTGTATTAGTGCCTGAAAATACAAAGATTTATCATACAGTGAGTAAAAGAGGCGGGAAACTTTTAGATGCAAAAAACCCCACTGAATTTGCCTCACAGATCTGTATGTTTTCACTTCAGCAATGTTCGAAAAAGAAATGTGTGTTTACCACAGGGATAAGCCACTAGTAATTTTGTCTACTTGCACAACAAATAAATGAAATTAAAATAGCACTTTAACATACAGAATTTATCCTTCAAGTGAAGAGGTGACCTTGGGAAAAAAGAATCAAAAAAAAAAAGTGAGCAGGTATTCTCTTTTCAAATGAAATATAGATCCGATGTGTCTACTAAGTCCAAGTGCATACTCTGTACAAGTTAAACAATGATTTCTGTTACAGTATATCCCATACGCATAACAGGAAACATCCCTGTCTGTCACACAGCAAAATTATTCAGGTGACTGCAAACACCAGGGGCTAGTCTCTCACCTGATGTAAACGGCACATGTCTTTGATGTTAAAGGACCCGTGCAAATTTACACCAGCTGTGCATGTGGCCCTAGCTGTGCAAACCACATATGCGTATAGTTTTATGGACTGAGCCTGATTAATGTTTTGTAAAACCCTGCATGCATCAGACTTCTTTAAAATGCTCTAGGAGCTGTTTTGCTAAAAGTCAAGGGTGCAAATCTTTTGCCATGACTATATTCAATTTTACCAACTGTAAACATAACACAGATAAAAATGTGTTCTATGAAGTTTTAGTTACAGCACACAATATTATATCCCTCAGCAGAGAGCAATTTAAACAGCTTACACTAATTCTAATTTGAGTGAAAATTACTTATGTACCATACGGCTCCTAATAGCTATCATACTTAGGAGAAATGCCAAAGAACTCTTTCAAAATGTCTGAATATAGGAGTGCTGATATTTAAGCAAAAAGTGGTTCAGAATTTTGTATTAACTGGTTGCTACAGCCGTTTTTAAAGACAGATGATCATCAGTGCTTTACAGTTAGGAACAGCTGAAAGCTACGTTCCAGGTAGAAGGACAGCTTTCCAGAGCAGCTAAACAGTCTGTCATTTTAAACTCCCAACACATAGCTTTGACTACATTTTCTGTAACTTTAAAAAAGAAGAAAAAAAGAAGTCTTACATATACCATCTTCAGAAACACTACCCTCTAAGAAGACCCAGTCTGTTGTGTCACATACCACTAACAGAGAATAAGGCAGATTACACTTTTTGTGATGCTGCCTACCTTTTATGACACAGGAAATATCAACTGTTTCTGCAGTTTCCTAAAATACTGTCTGATATTTTCAGTTCATTTGTCAAATCAGTGTGTTAAGACTCCAGACCTGTACTTCAAACAAGAAAGCACTGCCAGATTCTGTGGAATCCTGCAAAAGTGCATTGTTACACTTGCATGTTTTGTAGCACAGAATGACCTGTTTAAATATGTTCCTCATAATTATTTCCACTGCATTTTCTTCAGAATATACTTTAAAGCACATACTTACAACTGTCTCACACCTGGCATTCTGTAAAAACCTGGTTCTGTTTTTCTCTCTCCCCTTTTTTTAGAGAAGTGCTAGAGTAGTTTGGTTTGTCCACCTCACTATCATATTTGGCATAATCTTACTGAAACTACTCTTCTACTCTACCAGCGGAGGGATCTTAAGAAGGAAAAATGACAGCTTCACAGGAATCAAAGTATCAATCCAAGTTAATCCCAATTACTGTACCCAAGTAAAAAAGTAATATAAAACACATTTCAAACTTATAAGAGTAATGCCTTGCGAGCAGCTGAACACCCTTTCACTGCCATTAACTCCATGAGCAGACTGCACCTCTCAGAACCTGGCTGAAGTATTTTCAGTGCAGAGCGTCTCACCTCATTATGTATTTCTTCTACTTGCTTTACAACTGAAGTTTCCAGTGATTTCAATGATAAAGCCATTGAATCAGAATCAGTCTGTAAATTCTGGAGTGCCAGTTCACATTGTCCAAATATGTATTCCAATGTTCCTCTTGAACACTATAAAGATACAACAAAAAAATTATATATAGCCACTTCAGAATATACACATTTCTCAAATATACTGAACTGTTTGCTTCTGAAATAATCAAAGTGAAGGAGCAGAAGGGATGCATTTCTATAACTATTCTGCAATCTTTCAAACAAATACATAATGCCTCTTGGATTGTCTATATAGTTACTGATATAAATTAGGCAAAAGTCTAATCCATCAGACATGTAGCCAACCAGCACAGCACAGATGGAAAGGAGAATGAAAAGAATTCCTTTCAAATTTAGTTTAAAAATATGGCATACAAAAACATGGCCATATTTTCCATTGCTTCCTGGCCAGTTTTTGACAGTATTTCAGAATCAGTTGTATTTCCCCAGTTGTATGGGCTCCCAGTAATGCTAAAATGGAGTTCCATATCCAATCTGAGAGCACTGTTTGCTTACTAGGTACAGAGAATATGAACAAAACAAATTTGCACTTCTGCTCCTTTTATTTTGTTTTCATTACATTCCCTTCAAATTGAGAAGGAAATCTGTAAAAATCCTTTTGAAACAGAAGAAAGACAACATCTACATCTTTTAGTTATTTTCAATTAAATATCTGTGCCTTCAGTTAAATTTCCAGGAATAATCTTGAATAAGGCCCCCTTGGTCTCATATTCTCATATTGTTGAAAAAAAAATTAAAAATAAAAAATTCTGTATTATACAACTTGAAGAAGTCACAACAGTTTACAAAACCTGAGCATAATCACTTAATAGAGAAGCTTTTCATACTGTGAAAATAAATGTGCATTTTCCTGCAAAAGTAACACAAAGACATGAGCAGTAGGGTCAGAGCAGTCTTGAAATGAGAGATGAGATACACAGCTATTTGTTTTAACACATACAGTGTACTTTATGGCAAATATGTTCAAGCTAGCAGAGTGTATATTTGTTTGGGAAATACAGACACTTTTTTAATATTACAATGTGTATATACGTCCATGTTTGGTGCTACTGCTTCACTTCCATTCCAGCACAAATTAGGAAAAGTGTGGGGGGGGAAAGAAGTATATGGATACATGTTATCACTCTTGCTTCAATAGTGATACATTTTGCCTTGCTGAAAGAAGAAAGTGGTAATTGTAATTCTTTAAAGTATCTTTTTACAATACAGTCTATTTTTTATTTTTCTATATGCTTTCCCATTAGCAACATACACAAAACATAAACAAAACTACTGATAATGCCATGGAAAAGAATAAGAAGGAGAGATCTAGTAAAAAAAAATTTAAAAAAAGGTGTCCTAGCATTTGAGACTATCAGGCTGAAGCCTTGTTATCTCAAAATGACTCCAAGACAAGGGACTCTGTATCACTTTTCTGCTTCTTTAATCCTCAGATGCACAGAAGGATCCAATTTAAAGCATACTCGTGACTGCTTAGTTCTTCTGACCTCCTAAAGGCCATTTTTGCCAGTGGGCACTGCTGACATAAGTGTTTTGAATATTTTTATCTCATCATGAATATTGCCTTTCAACTACAACTGGGATATGAACACAGCAAAAAAGTGTTAAAACATTTCAGGAGAAATACAGTTGTTTCTACATTTCATCAGTAATCCGTATAGTGAGACATAGCACATTCTCAGTTCATCTTATATGCCTAACTGTGAGTTTAGCCAAACTACCAATACAGAAACAAGTGTACCTCAATCCAAAAATAAACAAATAGCAGTTGTTCAAGAAAACAGCCTGAGTCATAAGCATAACTGTGAGCTACAGTTCTGGCTAAGACAACATGATGCTATGTAGATGGTACCAGAATATTAGTTTTACAAATGATCAAAAAGCAAACCATTTTTGATACTTACATCTGCCACTCTGTGAGTTGAGCTGAATCGAGGTGAAAAACCAGCCAGAACACAGTGCTGATGTGTCATATTGAGATCATCTAGGGACAGATTAGAAAACCTTAAGTACATGGAAAAAATTACACTTAATAAAACTTATTCTGGCTGAATATGAATTCGAGACGCTACATTAAACATTTAAAGAAAAAAAATAGAGAATTCAGTCAGATAGTACTATCTTCATAGAGCTCTGATGTTTAGCAGAGCATGCAAACTATTCACTGTCCTAGTGTTACGAAAGATCTCTATTCATTAGTTTTCTCCCAGTTTACACAGTTTAGAAGTAGCATTTTCCCACCTTTTACAGGATAAGTTAAACAAATAAATTCTTTCAAAGTTGAAGATCACTATAAACCACAGACTACTCAGAAATTACAATCTCTTTTCTCAAAAATCACTAAACAATACTGACATTTCTTGAAAAAAGAAACAAAGAAAGGGAAAGGAAAAAAAGTCAAAGACATATCATTTCATCTTTTTATCTGAGACTTATCTGACATTCTCCTTTCAGCTCAGAGCCAAGAAACTGGGAACCCAGAAAGCAGAAACTGCTCAAAGACCTGTCTCCAAAGCATTTCATTTGTGACCTTCCTGTAGCCTGCCGGAGGGCTGTCATGGACTTGAGTTCACAAACTGGTGAACAACCAACCCCACAAACCTCCATAGATGGAATCTACTCAGTTACCATCAGAGTTTCGTCGAAAATTATCGTAACTGAAGAATGCTTGAATTCTGACAAATTAGCACTTTTTGGAGGAAACAGTTCTGGAAAAGTTCAGAGTAAATCTATTAACACCCACTGTTACACTGAAAATCATTCATTACGTGTTTTCAAATTCAAACAGTTTTGGTGTTAAAATTATGCTGCCCTCTCAACCTTAACAAGACATTCAGAAAAATCTATCAAAAATTTCTGTAAAATCACTCCTTAGTTATAGTTTTGTAAGTTAGTAGAAAGAGGCTAAAGAAACCACACAAGACTAGGTGACCTGAAGTGTCACCAAGCAAGAAAAATCATAAACAAAATTGGAAGAGAACAGGAAGAGAGACCAACAAGACGCCAATTAACTTGGAGTCTGTATTTTCAACAAAACATATTCTTTCAGGGAATTTAGCTTCAGTCATCTTAATACAGCACGATAAGAAATGATCAAGCTTCATTCTTCCATCACATAAATATAGTTTCTCTTTAAGAGATTAATATTTGCACACCTGAAACATGATATCCCAAATTCCTACTGATTTTTGAAAATGCTCTTCTGACCATAATGACAGACTATCAGACTGAAAAGAGCAGTGTGTGAGGTTTAATGGTATTCTCTTTATTACTGAAAAAAAAATACGCTCTACAACATTTATTTTACTTTGCAACAAGTCTGAAACTTTAAAACTGAGAAAAGTCTAATGAATAAGAAATCAGAAAAATGACTGAATTTATCCTAGTTGTAAGAACAGCATCTTTACGAATTTTAGAAGCAACTATTAACAAAATTCATACTTAAGACAGCAAATAACATTACCAACTTGAAAAAGTAAAAATAAAAATCAGAAGAACAATTTATGTAAGGATTAGGCAGACAAGTGTTATGAAACAGAACTGAATTCCCACTAAGAAAGTTTAGACGGGAGGCTTACTTTCTATTTCCATGAGGTTTACAGATGGGTAAAGTTGAAAAGCTTGAAAAAACTGCTCCAAAACAAACAAAAAGAACATAGGAAAAAGCAATTTCCTACATAAACATATGAGGATTAAATTGCATAGAGTCAAGTCTCGCAAGGGCCACAGAACAATATTATCTCTGGACATTGCAATATCTAAATATCACAGTCATTTCAAGAAGAATTGCGATAGAAAAAAACCTAAACACTTCCACCACGCCATTCAGTGCCCGTTGATTGTGGTGTGCTTTGTGTAGCAAACACAGCATTAAAAGTATTACATTTTGATTTGCACCTTTATTCAAACCCTTGGCAAATCTTTCACTGTAGAGCTCCCCCTTGAAATTGCTTCCAACTGTCTCTAATCCTTTATGACTCCTAGAAAGAAGCCTGTAATTTTAATTTAAGAGTTTATAATTCATCTAAAACTGTAATTGTACAAAAATAGTTGAAGCTTCATGGATTGCATGTCTCAAAGGATATTTGAAAAATACATTCTAGGTCTTAAAAGATTACTGTAAAGATTTGCTTTTCTTTTTCTTCTAAAAATACATTAATTGAAAAGAAAAAGCACTCTTTGTTAAATTGGCCATTGTCCATTTGGCAGCAAAAGCTTTTACTCGGATACAGAACACTACATCCAGATTACTATTTTGGTTTTAGAGCCAAACCAAAACTGTTACCTTCCTCAGACACTCATGTCAAAACTGCCATAGTGCTCCTGTGGTTTTTGGTAGAATACAATGCATGCCGAGTTAACATCAGTTCTACATGACTAAACACTGATCAGTGAGGGTTGGAAAACCAAAACAGAGCCTCGCCAGTATTATATCCATGCATATAGAAGTAGGAGCATGTATCAGTCCTGCTTTGGCAAACTGCATGTAGGCAAGTTATTTGTCAGACCGTTCTCCTGAATTTGTGGTGAGGTAAGAGCCAACATGGCGTCTTTTCTGTCAGGAAACACCGGGCCCTTATCTTGCCACAAATTCAGGACAAGTACATCAGGGACATCTCATTTCAGTATCTATTACAAAAACAAAGCCCCTCAAAACTTAATGAACTGTATAATGCATATGAGAAGTGACTTTTTATTTCAAATCGCCATTAACACCAACTTAGCAATGTATTTAGCACAGTTTCAAGAACTGTCACACAATCCTTTCTCCTTCTTAAAACAGTCTTGCCTTCCATATGGATGCTTACAAGATGCATATGCCAGTTAAATAACTGCTAGGTAAGAAAGAAGTTTTGAGAATTGGTCTACAGTTGTCTGCTTACATGACTGTTCCTCTCCCAGAGTTTTCCCATGTCTATGAAAAATGCTGTCATTTGCACAGTTTTCCTGAAGTCTGACCAGGCTTTTTGCTTGTTTATCAATTCCGAAACATCTACAAATTATCCAAATTTAAAATAGTAATTCTAGAAAACAATCGAGAAAAACTATTGCTAGAGTGTTACCCTGACCAAAGAGAAATTTCTCAGTCAAAGCCTAATCATGCACATGAAAGCTATTTCACCTTTACCTGTATTAACGGGACACCAGTCACTGCACAGATGTGGAGGATTACTTGCACTTCAGGCAGTATAATGCCTATATGGGTTTCCCCAAACTACTGACAGTATAATAAAGGGCTTGTTTGCATTCAAAGGAACACAACTTAGTTGGGAACAGACACTTGGTGTTTGAATGTTGGAAAAAATAACTTCATTTTCTGTCTGAGGTGGAGCACCAAAGAAACAAGGAGACATTTCCTGCATACATGTATATGGCAAAATACCTATTGCTTTTAAATTGATTGTTTTATTCTTTTATTTCTACCACTTTCTGCCTGCCACTTCCCAATGAATCATCTGCCACCTTACAGCCAGATCCCATGATAGGGCTAGTGTAGCTGAGGCAAGATTTATTAAAATAAATTAATCACATGTATGATTGCGTAAAAGTGGCCAAAGCCACCTTGGAAAACAAAGTTATCAAGTTGAAGTCTGTTTAAATAACTCGTAGGTCAGATTTTGACTTTACAGATGAAGTACTAAGAAGTCATAAGAACATTTAGCAGATGATCTGATTAGTGGCTAATGCATACAATTATTTGACACAGAATCTCCAGCTACAGAAATTTCAGTTAAGACACCTTATGCAAAATATAGTTACAACATGGAGTTTTTATCTAATACAGGACCCTATTCCTCACACCTGCACAAAAAAGAAACCAAACCCAGAAAACACAAAACCATCTAAAGTACTTGGTGCTTTAATACATTTACCCATGCAAGGCCTCTGTAAAGTTGGTAACTGACACAGAAAAACCTAAGGGTGAGGAGAGGTTAAGGGACTTGCCAAAGCTTGCATGGAATTCAGTGAGAGAAGCGGGCTTACAGCTCCTAAAACTAATGCTATTAACACCTGACCACCCTTCTACTGTCAGATGCAGAGCATTATTCTCTATGTCAACTCCCTGATCAGATAAACTTCTCAGTGATTTCCTGCTATTTACAGACAGCAGATACATTTTGGAATCTGGATGCTACATATTCTATTTTAAATTGTGGGAGCAATGTTCACGTCATAGATCTTTCTGTCCCTCCCCTGCACAGATTTCTGCCCTCCTATTCTTTCCTCAGATACATCCCCCTCCCAGCACAGAATCTCAGCAGCGTCCTCTCCACTGCTTGGAACTATCACCAGTTCCCTCCTCCCTTGGTGCTCTGATCCCGTTCTCAGTCCCTGTCCCCGCTCTGTCCACACCTCACCACCATATGCTTTCTTCTCAGCAGCTGGATTAGCTGGGCACCACCATCAGAAACACTGGAAGCCCTTGCATGTATAGCCTTTGTCAAAAGAACAGACTAATGGATATGTGTATGAACATACACTTAACTAACATACATATACTTAACTAATTCTACTACTTAACTAATTATCAGAGCATCAGTGAGGCGAGGAGCCAAAGCACTCTGAGAGAAACAAAGACTGGATACCCATATGTCACTGCAGGCTATTAAGACATAAAAATACAAGGTAGAAAGAAAGGAAATTAATTCTTAGCCAATCCTTACTGAAAGGAGTAGGGACTAAATGCCCCAAACTTGTTATTTCTAGGTAAAGTACTTCCCAGGAAAACACAAACCACAATGGAAAACACTCTCAGAATTAGGAATGGGGATTTATATCATCTTTTCTATCTTCTTCCAAATGTTCTTCCTGAATTTTTTAGACAATTGTCTTCTTGTCATCTATTTCATGAAGCAGATAAAAGCTACAGTGGGGTTTAAAACACTGGCAAAAGCTTTGATATTCTAAACACCACAGATGTCTGCAAACAAAAGCAAAATGGACGTGTGCTATTAGTTTTCTTAACTACCATAAATGAATGAAGAATTTTCTTTTTAACCATACTATAAGGCAATTTTGAAAAGCACTAAAGTGATTTTCCACCATTTCCAATTCTACTTGTGTTCAACTGCACACAATTCTTCAACAAGAGAAAACCTAACCAAACTAATTTTACTGTAGTTATGTCAACAAAAAGCACCAGGAAGGTACGTCTCCTTCCCCAGGAAATTATGGGTCAATGGAATACTACTTCTATAAAAGAAAGCTAGAGGGATGATCTGTCCCTAATTAAGCAATACTTTTATTTGTTAAACAAGAAAAGTGTGCACAAACAAAACACAGAATGAATTGAAAGACTGAACTAAAAAAAATAAGTCTGGGATTTGCCAGACCTCATAATCAAAGTTTGGTAACGACAAATACATTTCTGGGGTTCAAAGTCTTAATAATCAAGGAATATAGCATTTGGATTAAATGTGGACTCAAGTAAAAAAAAAAAAAAAAGGGTTTAAAAAACTCCAACACATTCAAGATGCTAGAGAGCAAAGAGGGTTCAAGTTAGTTTATGGAAATAGAAGCAGATTAAATATCTAGAAATAGTTTAATGAGCCACTATATACATGTGGAAGTGTTTCCATTAAATACTTATCTTTAACCACAAGCCAACCTCCGCAATGTGTGAACCCTTCTTCTGGTTGGTTACAAAAATAATTTTTTGATGCTTTGTGAACCATAATTTGCTGGGGGTGGGGAGGGGTATAAGATTCCAAGTTCATCTTCATGCTGTTTTAAAACCCTAACCTTCAAGCAAGAGCTTGATCTATGGGAAACAGCTGCAGAAAAGTAAATCTCCCTTTGAAAAAGTCCAGAATGTATTTTTGTTAAATATGTTTTGAAGTCATGGTAGGAAAATTAGTGAAAATTGTAAATCTGCTTGCAAATCTGGTCATGTCTAACTCAAAGATCAGGGGAAAGATTCCAATTTAATAGTAAGACCATGACAACCCTAGTTAAGCATGCTCTAGGACAGAGCAGATGGGGCCCTTTGCTCACCTCCACGCGTTTTGGATTTATTGCATGCACCCAACACGTTTCATATTAGACACCCCTTGACTGTGTACTTGAGACAGCAGGGTTCAGTATGCACTTCCTCTGCAGACCAATATATTATTCTAAATTGAGCTAAAGTGTTTCCGTTTCATGAGTGATATAAAGTTCAGATTTGAGTTTTTAGGCAGCAGATTTGCAGTCATTCACCAGATCTTTTTTCTTCATACTAGGAAAAGTAAGCCTTAAAAAAACCCAAAAACAAAACCCAAAAGCCACCACTTTCTTACTGAAAGTAATTTTGGATTTTGTTTAGTTTTGTTTAAACAAAATGTATTTATATTATTGACATAGCTTACTTGAAGGATGGATTTGATCACCTAATGTTTAGTACTAACATACATTTAAATTATGGCTTATGATTTCATCTGAAGACTGCTGAGAATGCAGGTGTAAAATTATATTTTAAGACAGCATTTTACTAAAACTCTACCCAAAATAACCAAAAACATTTTACAGAGCCAGTGAAAAGAGGAACATAAACATTACTAAACATTTACTAGAAATGCTAAAAACCATGCCCACTCTTTCTGTTACTTTGATATACCCATTGATCAGGATTTACAAGTTACTGTAGAAATATTAATTTACCACATTTTCTTATCTAAGACTCACATGCACAATATTAGGAAACAGTTGGGGTATTACAGGTACAGGAGTTGATAGGACCTGACTTTTTAGATATAAGCAACATACCAAATTTGACATTTCAGTGTTTTACGACATTCATATAAAGCAGTAAGCACAATAGCATTTCAACAATCAGGAGACCAGACCTGCAGAGTGGCCAAGTGGTTTTGCTAGTGTTGGATGCGTCCATGGTAGTCAGAAATAGCACACAGTCCTACCAATCAGTCCCTGTATATCAACAGCACTGCAGTACTCTTAACGTTGTATTTTCTAGATGCCTTGCATAGCGCTGCCATTGCTTTTAAAACAATGCCAGCAGGAAGACCCTGCTTACTGAAATGAGTTTCTAGAACATATGATGTATAAAGGCATAAGATAAATGAGTCTAAAACTGGCTTCTTCATTGACAAGTTACTTTTTATACAAAGTTTTCACACTTTACCTTTTAGATGACATCCTCAAGACGCCTCCTCTTAAAAGTCAGTTTAAAAAAATCTCAACAGTAAAAAATACACTAAAACTGTATACATCCACTTATATTGTATTTCACTTCAAGTGAAAATGATACAGGTAGTTCTGCTGTACACAGACACCTAATAAAAGGGCTAGTTTGAGAATACTCTCTTGGTCTGTATAAAATGATACTTTTTTTTAAAGTAATTGAGAAAAAAAAATAAAGGCTGTGGAAATGCAGAAGACATTATCAAACACCTGGTCTACAGAGCTCAACCCTGGAGCTCTCCACAGAGTATTTATAAGAAAGTGATTTACACATCATCTTCAAAAGAATGTTTAATATATTCTTTGTTTCCATCTAAACACAATCATGATATTACGTGTTAAACTAACATTCTGACCCACCCTTCATATAGCATCCCTGATTAATACTTTAGTTACTGTAATTAAATTCCATCAGGGAATAAAAAACATCCTTATAATCTGGTAACTCAGTCAACTACAATCTACAGCATTTTGCAGTAAAAATACTGAAGTTAGACCCTGTCTTTTATTACTTGCCTTCTGAATCTGTTGCTGTGGTTGCACAAACTTTCCAGCCAGGACGGATTAGATAAGTTTACTTGATGCCAAAACAGCTATTGCACAAAAATGGATTAATAATTCCCTTTCTAGGAATGTTTAGCTGCGACTTAAACTTCATTTTAATCTAAAAAATCTCAGTTTCCCTCCAGGCTGCTACTCTACATCCTCACAAATACAGAAAAGGGATGCACATCCACAGCACTGTGCCAAAGGATATCACATCTTAACACTTGATCTGTTCCTATCTAAACATACTTAAAAGCACACAGTCCAGTTCTTGTACACAAGATACTTCACTGATGAGAGCACAATGGATTTGATGAGGTAACTAAGAACAAGGAATGGTATAGGTTTTTTAAGACTGCCCACAAATGTATCGCTTGTAGTGAGTAAACTGTTTTCAAATTTGTTGGAAGATAAAGTGAAAGGTAAAAGTGAAAAGGCTGTTCACCAAACACATCAGCGGTGTGACAGGTCATTTTAGGGATGTTCTATGATGTCTACCTTCCAAGCCTGAAACACAGAACAATGCAAGTGCTCTCAATCTTCAGAGATGATGTCTGTCAAGCCTAGTCACTAAACAGGCAAACATGGTGATGTCAGAAGCACTGCTCATGTTTTGAGTTGTGAGATTTGTAAAAAAATTTATTTAAACAAAAACAACAAGAGAAACACAAGCCAAAAGTGAAAGCAACAGATTTTGTGTAAACAAACCTTAGCCATAGTTCTTGCCTCATTTCTTTCAACAAAAAAACCTTAGTGTGTGAGCTCAGCTGCCCACGTAACTAACTCTATTTAAATTTTCTTTTTTTAATCCTCTACACTTGAGACATTGAGACTCACTTGGGAGTATGACAGCTCTATTCATTGAAATCTTAGTATGATCCCACTACTAGAAAATCACGTCTGAATATACACATGGAAAAGTGTAGCTGGAGAGAAGTGTCATGTCTAAAACTGGTGACCAATAAAACATCCACGGATTGGCATAATGGTTGAAACTTCAACAACCACAGTACCAGAAAACTTTAAGACTGCTACAGTCACAGCTTACATAATATGTAGCCACTCTATCAGTCAAACTCAAGAACAGGAATTTTTTAATTGAATATAATACAGAGATGCTCATAGTCACTCAATACAACTGCCTTAAGAATAGAAAAAGGAATCCGCATCTACAAATACAAGGATAGGATAGATAGAGCTTAACTTCTCACAAGATTTGGGGAAATCCTGCTTATGGCCTGAAGCCTGACCTGGACTTGCAATTCTGACTGCACAACAGAAGGCAGAAAAGGCTCAGAAAGAATATTTCCTTTCTTAGCTGTGAAGCGAAAGAAACATCAAAGTTCTCCAAAATACAGTGGAAGTGGATAGGGTAGGAGGAATTTATGATATACTCTAGCCAGATTTCTTGTCTTTCTAAATAAGGGAAGTCCTAACTGAAAGGAAGGTATGATAATCTATATTAAAATAAGTGTCGTTTGCTCTGCTTTCAACAGAAAGTTCACCTACTCAGCCCTTGAAAATTACCAAGCATCAAGTAGAAGTCTCCTTGGTGAAGTGGCACTACTAATCCAGGTGTCTCTATGTCCCATGCTACCTTCAAGCCTACGTGCCAAACAGCTGGGTCTCTTCCCTTCAGTTTTTCTTCATTGTTTCCTTCCACAGCTGAACCTTTAAAGAAAGAGGGGGAAAAACACCACAAAGATGACAGACAAGGTGAGAACCATAAAATACAGAATTTGGTCTAACAATACACACTTAATGCTATCCCACATTGGTACAACCTTAATAGGCTTAAATTTTCTATAATCTACATTTGGTATAATCACCATCTCCAAATTCAAAAGTATGTACTAGGTAAATAAAAAAAAGCCATATGAGATCAAGATTTTTTTGCAACCAACTTTACTAAGATGAAAACTTCATCTTAACTACACACTAAAAGCAAATCAAGGCAAAATCTGTAACTGACTCAAGTTTTTCTCAAGCTCTCAAGTACATGTAATAGAAGTTTTACTTAATCTTCATTCTTTTTTACATTAGTAAAACTATAAGCATAGAAGAAAAAAGAAAAAATGCAGCACCACTGATATGAAAATAGATAAGTTCTGAAAGAATTTCAAGCAATAAACTGCCAAAGCATGTTATAAACAATTTTAATTTGTTTACATACTTGCAATTTCACCAAATCATAAACTAAGGCAAAGTAAGATGAACTTAGACCAAAGTTAAATGAATCTTGGAATCATATCTGTCGTTCTTTTCTCAAAATTATTAGTCAAACATGCTCAATGACATGTGCAAGAGCCAACGAAGCTTCAATACATTTATCGCAACAGTCTTCTTATCATTAAGCAACATGAATGTGTTGAGCTTGGGGAAAAAATAATCCACTGCATAGAAATAGTATTTAGAGCTTAATCCCTCAGAACTATTTTCATAAGCTTACTTCACTGCAGTATAAATTGAAAGATATAGTCAGCATTTATAACAAGGTATTTGGGAGCTATGGTACAACAGTTTTATGGCTAAAGTAACAGAGCATTTTGACAGAGGGAGGATGAAGTTTTAATAAGCAGTTGGCACAGGATGGCAGTGGACAGTTAGAAATCATCAACTATGTAGCATGCCTAATTATTGCTTATAAGTTAGTAACTGCGCGTGTCCATTCCACTGTCCATTTCAAATGTGCTTTCGTGTAATACTTCTTAAAACTTTTGTCTTCATTTAATTCTATAATAAAAATACTAACATAAAGATCTATAACTCTTATTATAATATGCACACATAAAAAGTGACCTTGAACTCACACTTTCAAAATATTCATGTCATTCATCTCACATGGTTACTGAATGTTTGTTTAGTTGGGAATGGCTTTTAATAATTAATAAATTGTCTTAACTTTCTATGTCAATTAAATATTGCCTAAATTCAGGAAGCAGAGCCCCAAAACCTTTTAAAAAGCCAATCTAAAGTTCTCAGTTAAAATTCCTAGTGTAAATTCAGTCCCTGTAATTCCGTCCCTCCACTGTCAATAGTTCTCATCCAGCTGAAGCTTTGGCTCAGGACCAGCTCTAGGCCTTTCTATCAAGGAACACACAAATGAGAAAACAAGAGCTAGCAAATACTCAGAAAAATCAATACGAAAGTCTTCAAGGGGCTTTCATATTTTCTGACCTGTTCAGATAAATCGTAACTTAATTTAAGAAAAATGTTTTCTGAAAACTGCAAATAGGACGGCTTTCAAGGCATTTTTAATGCAATACATCATGGATATTATAAAAAGAAGTAACCTTTCTGGGTTAACTCTCTCTGTTATGCTGCTTTCCCATTCACTTTGGCAGCAGCACTGTTCACAATATGGCACCAATAAAATATAGAACTACAATCAGAGACAGCAATTTCAATCAAAGTTTCCTGGGGTCTCCTCATAAATCCAGCACCTTTGGAATGTGCTCGTTAAAATGACTTATTTTTTGCAGTTTGATAAATTTTTTATTGCTTAAGTACAGAGTTCAAATGTAGCTCACAGTCTCCTTTTCTTTATATTCTCAATTATTGCACCTTATAATTATCACCAGCAATTGAAACCGATTGCTCCTACCATGTTATTATGGTAACAAATGGAAGCAAGCTGCTACTAGCTTTTAAATGCAAGCTATTGTGAAAGTCAGAGCAAGAAAAAAAAAAAAAAGACACCTTAACATTGTGGTATATCTCTAGGTAGCATCAACAAACTTTCACATAAAAAGTTGTTATTAAATTCTTTATGTCACACCTCAAGGATGACTGAATGCTCTATACCATTACAGTTCCCATATAAGTGAGAACATTTGGATGCATCTAAACCATAGGTATCTGAGAGTAAATCATGTGGATTTTGCACATACACAGCACCTTAAGAACAGTATTTATTTTGGAGTACACCACATAAAAATGGTCAAATGTAGCAGTATTTACCAGAAATATAATAAAACTATCTGCAAATTTGAATACTGTTCATTAAAGATTTATAGAATTTGGCCTGCAAGAAACCTTTATGCTTGCATCCCAAATGAAATGGTGCAACCAGGTAACAAGCTTACCACAACACAACACCAATACCCCAAAGCTGTAATTAAGGTAGAAACATGAAAGAGAGAACGTAGCTGCAGAAAATTGGCCACAGCATTATATGTCTAACTAGACAGCAAGAATTTCAGAGATGTTCCAGCTCTAAGACCTGATCTTATGAGGTTTGGACCATGGTCAAGTTCAGAACAACATGAAACTTGTTTTCCTGGATCTAGTTTGGTTATTGTTCCACAACAGAGAAAGTAAAAGTAGCCTTGAAAGGTTTGTTTGCTATTCAGCACCAAAATCTTCAAGAAGAGTTTGAGAGGTTTTTGACACTCTGAAACCTAAATGTTCTCTATTCAAGTCAAACTGTAATGCCAAACTATATCCTAAATGTAATCTTAAATCAAACATAATTTCTTAGACTACAAAATCACTGCCAACACATTGCTAAAAACAAGCAAGACTGTAAACTTCTACTTTATCATTAAATCCAATGGATGATTGTTATATAGATACAGAAAAAAAAGAATTTTTATTTTACAGTTTGATTGATTTTTCCAGAATTTAAAAGAATTTGGGCACATGTTCAGCAATTAATGAAATACATTATTATTGTCTTCCATAGCAATTTGTGTATGTTATATGCAAGAAGTGAAAAAAGCAGAGCATGCTTCGCTTTTCAGCAGCTGGTGGGAAAGAATGAGTATCTACCCAGAGTGACTTCTTCTGCCTTATTACTGAAAAGCTATAGCATAAGAGGTTAATTAAACTGTACTAACATTTTAACTTTTGCTTGCAACTGACATTCACACAAACAAAAACTGGAAGATTTGCCAACATTGTTCTTGTCAAGTCATATTTGGAATACTGTGACCAATTATATCAAGAACAAAAGCACTAAAATAGGAAGAGAGAATATTCTGTCATCCCTTCGTTCTTGAATGAGAAACTTTATTTGATCAAATCAGCGAGAGCATGGTTAAAAAAAACAAACAAACCTCACAGCAGCTAATTCAAATTATGAGTTCTTTTTAGAAAAAAAGAATTCAAATCTATTATTATAAGAGTAATAATTGGATCATTAAAAATTTGTGATTCTCTCAGAAAGCATTTCCAACTGGCCAGAACCTACAAGTTACAGATTTCACATAATCAAGTTACATTTCACTCACATATTCATTTCTGAAGTAATATATATTTTTCTACATGCCATTTCTATTCTTTCAACAAGCAATATTTCTACTACATTATTGACGTTAGAAATCATTTAACATAATTGTTCTCATCCTGTATAAATGTCTACTCCATGACTTTTATCCATTAAGCCCTACATAAACAGGATTATTGGTCATCTACAAATTTAGATTGACTTAAATTCTGAACAACTGTTGCAGTTTCAGGATTTTTTGTTTTAACCTAGTAAGGAAGCAAACATGTAGTGAATCTCAGTTATGTTTAGTCGCAATTACTGTAGAAATGAAATAGCAGTTATTAGATTTAGCGTTAGGATATTGCTTCTAACATCACAGCATGAAAAATACAAACAGCATTTTACCAAAGAAACAAGCATTAAAAGTTCCCTCAAAAAGTCAGTCATTACTGCAACTAAGTTTAACATTAAACCTGTCAACGTTACTTTGTCAGCACACAGAGTTCAGTGCTTCAAGAGATTTATACAGCAAGTAGGCCTTACAGCAAGAAGACAAACAAGATACCGCAAAGACTGCAGAAAACTATTTATCTAAGGTAAACATAGTTTGTGGGAAATCCAGGCAAGAGAAAGATGGACACTTGCAGTGACTCCATTATTCTCCATCTCCTTTAAGTTGGTAACTGAAACAAATCTCTACTTCAAAGAACATCTTTAGAACCAACCAGTGCTCTGCTAAGCAATAAAAGTTCCTACAAAACTTAAAAAAGACCTGAGGGAAAACTGTTCATTAGGAAATTTTCATGGATAAAATCCAATTTTTGAAAATACCCTTATTCCACCAGTATTTGGATTGCAATTCCCTTTTATAAATAGAGCAGGAAATAAAAATGGGTTATTAGCTTACTATATTAAAAACCTGAACAAGTTTTTTACCTTAATGCTCTCATGTGATAGGATATTTGTAAGCTACTGTGTTATTAAAAATGCTAAATTGGTCAAAATTTGGAATTCCTGTTCTGTGGTAAATTCTGAAAAGTAAATGAAGTCCAAATAGTGTTAGTGACAGTACAATTGAACACACATTCCACCATGTGTTCAGTCTGCATATGCACCATGGCTACCACTCAAGCACTTTCATGCAGCATACACATAAAACTGAAATTCCCCAAACTTTTGTGAGGGTCTATTCTTATCACTTGATAACCTTCTTTTAAGCTAATGTAATGCATTTTATTTTAATGTAAATAAAAGCAAATACTATTCAGATGAGCAATAAGCAAAACATCTATCTTGTTTTGTTTTTAGAAATGTACCTTGTTTGAAGCTTCTTTGAAACAGTTTGACACTGGAAACAAGAAAATAAACAGTGATACTAATTAGAATATCAGCTTGTTCCAGTATCTTTAGGCTGGCTCTCAAATTTCTTTCCTGGCATATTAAAAACTGTTTCTACTCCAATTAATACTGATCAAAGTTTCAAACATCAAATTTTAATTATGGCATCAAACACTGAACAAGCGAACATGAAAATAAAGTTGTTTCAATTACAGTGGTGTCTGTTTTAATACTATTTAATCAAGTAAGCAGGTATCAAACAAATAATGATATAACATGCAAATTAAAGTAAAAAGAATACCATATAACACAAGTTGTGCATCTCTAAACAGTCTGACAAATAGCTGCCATAACGCGGCAATATTGCTGGGACTTGTATTATTATAATAATAATAAATAATAATAATAATAATAATCATCATCATCATCCATTATCCAAGATTATGGACTCCTAGGGCTCCTGCTGTTCAAAACCAGAAAAGCTGGGCATTCAGCGTTTGTAGCGGGATAGAATTTCTAACCACCTTGACAATTTTTATTATATCATGATTCTGTGATAGTCTATACACTACAGTGTGAATTCAATGTTAACTCAATACTAAATGAATTAATGGAGTAAGTACTAGTAAAAGATACTGGTGTAAAAAGCAAAGATGTTTACGGAAAATGGGAAGAGGAGTCAAGATACGATTCTACAAAGATTAAACAACAATCTTCAAAAAGATGTGGAGCTTCTGCATGCTTCACAGTTATGCAGAGCTTCGTAAGAGATACAGTAAATAGTGACAGTCTTTGTGAATGGCAGAAAGCACCAACATATTGAAGCAGTATGGAACTGGAAAGAAGAGTATTATAATCACTGCTAACTTTATAACCACCAGCACTTGAAAGCTACAAACAAGAAATCAGAAGAGCAAAAAGACAATCTATCTATTTCTCTAAAGTCAGGTAGACTCATTACTCCTTTTGGATGCACTACATAGGACACCTACACACACACACAAGTATATACTGTCACTTTAATTACAATGTTGTATTCATAAACTATAAACAGGTTCCATTTTCCTCCAATTTAAAAGTAGTCCAAGTATAAATATGGCTTCATTTTAGGCGTATACGCTGACAACTGCACCCCGAATCCCATGATGAACTGTTTTCACATAAAGGCATACTACAGGACATCTCCTTGTGATGCTCAGGAGCCATGCCAGGCACTTTAAATTCCCTCTCAAGTTCATGAAACCAACTTGAGCCATGCTCAAGAGCTATCAAGAGGAATTCAATCTTGTTCAGATTTAGATCTGACTTCATAAATAATTTTCTTCCCAAAAAAAGTATCCTTTACACTATCTTCAGCTACACTGAGGTTTTAATATCGCCACCTCCTGCCAAGAGATTCCTCCCTCTGATATATAATCAAATTTCAATTTGATTAAAAACTTTCAGAATCATTGCAAAAAATACAAAAATTTGAAGTACAAATTGTTTTTTTTAAATGTGAGTAACAGAATGATCAATTTATTCACTAGAAAGCTTTTAGCTTTTTTAACCTTTCATGTGTATTTTTAAATCCTTCAGGAAAAAATACAAAATTTTAAGTGTATTTATGAAAAAACTTGCATGTGGCAACGACATTAATTACATAGACATTAAAACAAGATTTGGTCTAAATTTATAAAATATTTCCTTCTACCCTCATCAATCAAAGCTTGCATAGAATTTGCAGTGGTTTTTGAACAGCATAATTTTAATCAAACTTGCTGAACTTGAAGAAACAAAAATTAAGTGATGAGTTCTGAATAAACATAGCAGATTTTGGTTTTGATAATTTATAGCTCTCTGAACTTAAAGGGACTCACATTTTTTCCCCTCCACAAGCAAGTTTTACGTCAAAGTAAAAAGTTTTTAAGCATATTATAATAAAACTTCACACACACTATTATTGCTACAAGTTCATGCTTATGTTTCCTTAAATATTTTTTCAGTAACATTTTAAGTCATCTACAGCACTACTAAAAAGATGTAATTGCTGGACATAAAATATCAACTTCTTTAACAAATAAGACAAAAAAAAGTTCATGAACAAAATGACATGTCTACTGGTCAGGGAGTGTCTTCTATTCAGTTTGCTAAGCCAGCTGATGTTTCATGTCCAGGAAAATGATTTCAGCTGAACTTTAAAAAACAAAGTGACCCATAGTTTCAAAGCTAATAACAAAACTATCAGGAGAATGCATATGAAAGTATAAGCTATTATTTTTATATCATGGTCTTCAGCCAAAACCTACCAAAATCAACGTGAATTCTTCCCATGTTTTGAAACAAACTTCAAAGGATTTTTGGAAGGACTAAAAATCAGTTGTGAACTATGAAACATAAGGGAGCATTTGCCAATTCAAATCAAGTGTCCAAATTTTAGTCCTATGTTTACAAAACTGGAAGCCATTAAAAAAATCCAAGGCTTTGTTCAAAAATTATTAGGAAAAAACCCCAACAAAAATCTTCATGTCTGTTTTTAAATAAAGATGGGAAAGGCACTTTAAACTAAAAATGCAATTATTTATTGACTCTTCAACTACACATTTTCCCCCCTAGTACTGCACTTCAATGGTTTTTAAACAATGATGAGCCTGCAAAGCCTGTCAGACAGCAGGTCTTTAATGGAAAACTTCCAGCCTTCCCAACTACAGAAACATTGGCAAGTCCTCCGCAAAACATGCATTAGCACTACAGCATGCCTAGACAAAATGTATACTTCCAATATATACAGTAATAGTTTTATACAAAACCAACCTAAAATGATCTTCCCAAAGAAAGAAGAGCAGTAAAATCAGCATAAAGCAGAAGCAAGTCTGTATATGATAAATAACACAATAAAGACGGTGATCTCAACTACAACGAAACATTTTACAGGATAGAAAATATGCACATGCGTTAATCTGAAATAGGTATTTGACAGATTTTGATTTCCTGGCCCTTAGTCAGGAAGTTAATCATACCAATTTTTAAATCGACTTAGAGAACAACTGATAATTTGGCTGCAGTAAACACAGGTATATTTTTGTACAAGTTTTAGTAGCAATAAAGATAGGGCTTAAATACAAAAAGCACCACAACATATTCAGAAGCACATGACAAATCTAGACTAGTATGCAGGTATGCTTATGTGCATACACACAAGGAAACATAAAAGAGCTTCAGGGATTTAAGATATTTATATCACTAGTCAACTCATACCTCCCATCACTCACCTTCACAGCTATAACTGTACACAGCAACCGTTGACCTTTCGACCAGATTCTCATCATGGTGCCAGCTCACTGCCATGTTCCCCATTCCAAAATAAGGTTCTTGTTTCAAGTACCGCATTTGTAGTGGATCCATATAATTTAATAAAGTCAAGTTATAAGATGTTCTGTTCTTTAGACTTATGTAGTCATCCTCTGGTACACAACAACTGCTTTGATCTTTTGAAACAGACCCTTTCACTGTAAGAGAAGTAGCGAAATTTTGCTCCCTATCTATTACAGTAGTGTCTTTAATTTCTTTGGTCTCAAACAAATTTTGTCCTTGTAATGCCTTGACTGCTTCAATATGCAAGTAGTCATTAAGTCTAATTAATGCTTTACAAGCATCATGTATTTGAGGACTGCAATATTTTATATCATAACCTTCGGTAGGCCAAGGAACTGTAAATAATCTTGTGTTCAAGTACTTGTAAGTGCATCCTGGGTTTCCAATTAATATACGGGACACTGGGGTAACAAAATCTTTTCCTTTGATCCTTACAAGATCTTGAAAGAAACAATCATGGTTTTGCAAGGTCAGAAAGCCTTCTTGTACCATTTGATGGAGCTCTTCAGGTACTGTATCAGATCTTCTGAAAATCAGCTTGGAGTATTTGGTCTTCCACTAAAGGAAAAAAAAAAAACAAAAACAAACAACAAAACCAGTAAAAGAACTATTCTTTTTACAGGAACCAAAGTACTTCATATATTCAAGAACAGACAAGGCAAAGTTGACAAGTTATCAAGCATGAGTCTAGAATGCGGTGAAGAAATAGATGCCAGTATTTATTACTTTTCATATTCCAACACGCAAATGGTGGCTATATACCAGTGGCCTGTAACCTGAGTATTACCAGGGCAAATCTGTAAATAAATAAATAAATCTGAGGATTCTGGCAGAAATCAATAGGGCATATAAGTTCCCCTGATGAATCTGTAGATAATGCTACCTTTTCTACCTTTAAGTAAACAAACAATGGAATATCGAGCAGTAACAAAGTGACTCCTCTTTTTGCTACGGTTGCAAAGACCATCTCATTCTGATATACAGAATTCTAGAAGGCTACATGATAAACTGAGATAGTTTCATATAACAACAATTTTTAGTGCAAAAATAACAAAATGAAAATGTAGGCTTTCAAAAAAGGCCAACGTTCTGCTGCACTGCACCTCTATCTTCAAAATACTCCTTGACATACTGGTCCTTTCTATTTTCATGTTCCTCAAAGCATGTCAATTAGCTCTCCTATTTATATAAAAAAATCCCCTTTTTGATAAAAAAAAAATTCCAAACATTTTCCTCCCCATATCCCCAACCACACCAGCTCTGGTATCAGCTGGAGTCCAGAAACCAGCAGTTTGTGGAGGCAACTACTCCCCACAAGGTATGATGCTGCTAATCAGCAGTACTTTGCTTTGTATGCAGAATACCGCTTCCCACTCCAGGAAGGATTGGATAATTTTATTTTCTTAATCTGGTTTTCTAAGGAAGTGAGTATCACGTAACCACACCTTTTATTGGTTGCCTGTAAATCTGCTTTAACTACTGCTGAGACTGTTTGGCAAACTGGACAAAGGTAGAGAATAAGTTCTTAACTAAGAATACTAAGTTCCTATGTACTTCATTAAAATTAATATATAAATAAAAGAAACAGATGCAAACTAGTAAGGGAAAGGCTGTAATGTGAGCCTGTCAAGTTTCAATTAGCTCATGTGAAGCTCTGAACAACACACTACACCTATTTCCTTTTGTCCAGAAGTTAGTCACTAGCATGAGGAAAAGGTAGATACTGATGGTGTTGTGAGGAGAGAGAAAAAAAAAAAAAAAAAAAAAAAAAAAATCAGGTAAACTGAAATAAGAAGGGGCAAGAACACATGGATGCACAGAACTCATCAAAACTTCTACTAATGTAATAGCTATGTTCAAAGTGCTTTTAAAAAAACAAATAAAAGCCACCAGTACAAAAGCATCACGCTGACCTACAATCCATCTGTGGGCTCCTTCTGGTACAACTCAAAACCACTTTACTAGTACTATCTACTTCCAAGACAGATTTGAACCTGCCTTTCAGGAAATTAGTTTTAAAATCCAGAAAAGCTGCCTTCAAAAAATACAAGCCAGCAGTCAGTCAGCATGCACATTTTCTATTGCATAAAAACAGTTAGACTTCTGCATCATACCACATTGCTTTCCTACAACACTGAAGAGGTGGCTTTATAGGATCGTTTGTTTCCACTGAAACGGTGAATATAAAAAGGAAGTCTATTTTAAAACTAATGATTACACATAATAAATCGTAGTTTATCTATAAACCTTGCCACCATTTCTTGTGAATTTTCACAGTGAAGCTAACTCCCTCTCTTCACACATTCTTATGGTTTCCACAAACTAGCTTCTTAGAGAGAGGGGGGAAAACCCGTAACAGTATGTACAGATAATAATTTCTGACAAATACATTTACATGCTATACTTTAAATACCAAAGCTTGAAAATAGTTCCAGATATCTATTTGAAGGTCCCTCTACAATCCCCAGCACAGAACACTGGGTCTCAGCTTTCATTAAAGGAACCAACTATAAACTTGATAAACGCAATTCACCTGAGCTTGCCAAAAGCCTGAAACAATTCCTTTAGAGGTCCTGAACTGTCCCCTTTGTCTCAGTCAGTGTAGCCTTTGAACAGTACAGTGAAAAAATCCTTATAAAGAACAACTACAGAAATCAGTAACTGCCAATTTTAAGGATTTACAGCGATAGGCTGTGGTCAGATGTGTGGGTATAGGTTGATGGGAATCATAAGTATTCTTTCACTTAATAATGACAGAATATTTTATTTTGGGACATATAAAGATTATTATTTGTTTAATTATGCGAGTGGTATGTGTAAAAGAAAGAGCACTAACAGTTCTGTAGCAGTATCCCAGTACTTCAAAAAATTCTATTATATTGGACATACTCAGATGAGACCAACCAATTATATTACCTATGCATTACAGCATATTTAAAAGTTATTACTACATATTTTTAAACCATTTAATATACTGAATTTCTAACAGGAATCACACACATGAAATTCCAAACAATTATTACAAACAGAAGGAGGGAAATAACAATATGATGTAAAGCAACTAAACGCCTGAAAACATGCATTAGAAAGGAAGCACGTGGATTTTACAGAGGTAACAACATTGTATTCCCCTCCTGAACGGCAGAGGTAACATCTTCCACATTTTATTGCCAGTCAAGTCATGGCATGTTACCTTTGGGTTGTGTTTTAAGATTACATGGTTAAGACCTACTTTATCATTAAGTTTTACACAGGTCACTTTTATACTTAAAAAACCCACACACTGATATCTCAGAAGAAATCAGGAAGTGGAAACACATTTCTGACACATCACATGAAAACAGTTTGGTCTTCTTTAAATCTCCAACCAGTCATTGTGCTATGTCCTACATAAGGAAAGCATTAAGGGATCAGAAGACTGGGTGAATGCAGGGTTCACACTGGACACCTTGTTGTTTTGGGGGGATGGGGAAGGGGGACTAATCATGTACGCTGTGTTGTAAGTCTGACAGCAAGTATTAAAGGTCAATTCACCATTCACTCTGAAAGAAGTAGGCACATTACTGGCAACTACAGGGCAAAAGAACCCCCCACCTCTGATGGTCAATTCTTTGTATGAATATTGCACACATGATTTTAAATATAGACATGCTTTCACTTCTACTGGTGGTACTCAACACAGAGAATCACCCTACAGGATGACTCACATGATAGGATAAAGTTAGAAATCAGCAATGAGGGCCTTTGAAAAGCAAACTGCCACTTAAATCATGAAATGAAAGTTTATACTTCAGATATTTGTGAATTGCCTTGTTAACATACTTGTTCTTGTTCATAGCTGGCTTTAAACATTACCTTGTTCCAGCCTGTGGTTTGGGGCCCATTTCTAAAATCCTTCATCATTTCAGCACTGAAAGAGGATGTTAGTGAAGTTTTGCTTGTGATGGCATTTCTTAGTTTTGTTCAGACTGTACACTTCCATACCTGACAAAATACCATATTTTTTTCTTTAACTTGCATCCTACCTAACCTTTCCAACACCTTCAAAGAATTCTACTTTATAAGAGGGAGATCCTTAAAGGAGTAAGGCAGGTCTCTCTAGGAAAGACAGACTATAAAACTAAACAGTATGTGACATTTTATTTTGCCAGTTTGTTGTCTTCAAGCTCTCACCCATCTTTTCCCCTCCATCTGTAGTATGTTTAAGTGCCATGGAACCTGTAATATCTACAGCTGTGATTAAAATAACATTCATAACCACCATAAGAATTTAAAAGGTGCTTGTGATGCTTATGATTATCACATATACTTAAAAATCCCTAGCATGCACAGAAACATTACACAAAAAGTATAATTCTATATGACTCAAAAAGAATGTATCTAAACTCTATTTGAACAGGTCTGATTTCACTGCTTATCTTGTTCCCGTTGTCTTCTATACTTATGGGTTACTGACACTGAGCAAATGAGATGACACTTGGGCAACCTTCGCTCCATCTTCTTTTCACATCAGCTCCACGAGACTGTGGATTTACAAAGACAGAAAAAAAGAAAGAGATGCTGGGCACAGAAGCTCTTGGCAGCAACAGAAATAAGAGAGACCAAGCAGGAGGGCACGTAACAGGACTAGGAAGGAGAAAACAGTAAGCTGCCTGAGTCTCAAAAGGGGGAAGAGCTTCTTCTTGAACATTAGTTTAAGACTGAAAAGAATGTTTGGGGTTTTTTGTAAAGGAAGAAAAAAAAAATAAAAATCATTCTGTTAAGCTTTTCTACACTTTTCCAGCACTTCCACGCTTTTCGTTGCCCTTACCAACCGAAGCGATTTTATGGTTAACAGCAAGTTACGTGTTTTCATATTATTATCCTTACAGCTGTTAAAGATCCCAATCAAGAGCTTACTTCCACTACATTCAGCACTGTAAGAATACAGAGAAAAACCATGCTTTCCCTAAGCATCCTACAACCCAAATGAATGAGAAAGGTGAGGTAAGTATACAGGCTGTCAGTATCACAATCCTAATCCTGTGGCAAAACTGGAGTTTAACTTCATGCTTCTGAGTCACAGTCCAGTACCTGACCCATAAAGGCATCTTTCCTTTTCTATAGTGTGGTGTGTGCTAAACTTTTCTTGGCCTTGGAATGCTGCAAAAGTGAAATTCATCCTTGCAAGGAAAGAGTCAGACCTATTTTTATGCTACCATATACATCTTTGAGCCATATGTCAATACAAGAAAGGTGACATGCCTGTAATGTAAGCACGCTTGCTGTAGCTGTTCAAACTACGAGATTCTTTCTTGTGCTTTTCATCTTACCGTGTTCCGATTTGATCTGATTGAACCTACAATTCTTGCCATATGTTTTGTAGCTGACCTAGAAAGATCCAAGACAGATGCAGACTACTCTTAATTTCATGATACTCTTCCATACACTCATTTGGTTTATTACTCATGTGGCTACTGGGCCTGTTTTTACTTTCATTTGGTTTCATTTGAGGCATGCATTCCAGTTTCCACGGTTCATTTTGTAAGCAAAGTCTTAAGGGTTACTTATCGTTTGAAAGTAGAATTAAGCCAAAAAAATTCAAATTTCTATGTTAATATTTTCCCTATTTTACCAAACCTGAGCTATAAAGAATAGTTCTCTTCACAACTCAAAAAAAAAGCACAAAACCCCCAAACCCCTTAAAATAGTGGTGACATATATTTTATTTTAACAAAGCATAAGAAATTGTGATTCATTATTGTATGTGTTACCTGGTACTCAGTACTGATACTCAGGACAACATCCTAAAAATAAATGAAATTCACAAAGTTTCCATTCTTGAATATCCCAGTTCTAGAGGTCTTATTTTGCACCACCTGAAAGTACATTATCAGCCATCAGGACACCTTTTTCATATCAGATTTCACAGTGTCTTTTTGAAGAAAGATTTGTTGTTCAGTGCAAACAGCCATTTTCGTTTAAAACAAGTACAGCTAAAAAAAAAATACATTACCAGTTGATGGAAATCAGCATCGGCTGGTGTCACATACGGAAGTCTATTCTCTCCAAGTTCTTCAAGAAGCTTTTTCTTCTGTTTTGGAGGGGTAAAATTGAAACAGAAAATTAAGACTAAAAACCAAGATCAAGACAGCCATGCATAAAACTAGTTGTATTAAAAAGACATAAACATGTGCAATCATTTCTCTTACTACCTTAAATTCTGGAAAATTAATAAGGAAAAATGAATGCAAACAATCAGTGGAGCTTTTCCACCTACAAACCAGCAATGCAGGTTAGGTAGTTTCAGAGCATGTGAGTATTTTTGCTCCTAAATTCTTTTTATAGATTATCAGTCCTTATTACACTGCTGAAAATCCATCTTGGTCTAATGTTCTTCAGAACTATGCCTACTTTGTACCTTGATACTAATTTCTTATTTAATTTTCATTTTATCTTCTACTTCAATTTGTGGATCCAATGGGTACAAAGTTCATAGTCCATTAAATGGCTCAATAATATGCTTTATTAAAACAGTGAGCCTCAATGTTGGGCATACTCTAAAATGTTTCCTGAAATGCGTGTATGAAGGAAAAAGAAAACATCCTCTACTGCACACCAAAGCCCCTACGACCTGACAATACTTAAAATTACATACTCAAGACCCCCCACATTCCAGCAGACAGCCCCAAATCCGGTTTGATGTTGGGAGTGCACTAAGACAGCTGACTGTGAAGAGCAGGTTTTCCCTGTCCCCCTTGTTTTCTCAACTCCCTTTTTACTTCTGTTTTTGACTGAGAGTATCTCCACCGATGTTCAGTCAACACAACCACTAAGGAATTATGCATCCTGCATGGATGACCAAGGAGCTTCTAGTAAAACTCAAAGAAAAGAGAAATCTCTATGGAATGTGGAAAGAGGGTCAGGCCACTTAGGAGGCATACAGGAATGCTGCCAGAGCACACAGGGAAGCAACTAGAAAGGCCAAGGTCCACCTGGAACTAAGTCTGGCAAAGGATATCAAGGATAACGAGAAGGGCTTCTTCAAGTATATCATCAGCAAATGGAAGACTAGGGGAAATGTGGGACTGCTGCTGAACGAAATGGGCGCCCTGGTGACAGAAGATACAGAAAAGGCGGAGTTACTGAATGCCTTCTTTGCTTCAGTCTTCACTGCCAAGGATGGCCCTCAGGCTCCCCAGTCCTTGGAGGTAAGCGAGCAAGCCTGGAGAAAGGATGACCTTCCCTCTGTCGATGTGGATCAGGTTAGGGATCTTTTAAGTAAGCTGGACACCCACAAATCCATGGGTCCCGATGGAATGCACCCACGAGTGCTGAAGGAGCTGGCAGACATCATTGCTGAGCCACTCTCCATCATCTATGAAAGGTCCTGGAGAACAGGAGAGGTGCCTGAGGACTAGAAGATAGCCAATGTCATTCCAGTCTTCAAAAAGGGCAAGAAGGAGGACCCAGGGAACTACAGGCCGGTTAGTCTCACCTCCATCCCCAGAAAGGTGATGGAACAACTCATTCTGGGTGTCCTCTCCAAGCAAGTGGAGGAAAAGAAGATCATCAGGAGTACCCAACATGGATTCACCAAGGGGAAATCATGCCTAAGCAATCTGATAGTCTTCTACAATGGCATGACCGGCTGGGTAGATGAGGGGAGAGCAGTGGATATTGTCTACCTTGACTTCAGCAAGGCTTTTGACACTGTCTCCCATAACATCGGGGGGGAGTGGCTGCGCTGCCATTCAGTGGGACCTGGACAGGCTGGAGAGTTAGGAGGAGAGGAACCTGATGAAGTTCAACAAGGGGAAGTGTCAAGTGCTGCACCTGGGGAGTTTGAACCCCATGCACCAGCACAGGCTGGGGGATGACCTGCTGGAAAGCAGCTCTGCTGAGAGGAACCTGGGAGTCCTGGTGGATGACAAACTGACCATGAGCCAGGAGGGTGCCCTTGTTGCCAAGAAGGCCAATGGTATCCTGGGGTGCATTAAGAGGAGTGTCGCCAGCAGGTCGAGGGAGGTTATCTGTGCCCTCTACTCTGCCCTGGTGAGACCCTACCTGGAGTACCGTGTCCAGTTCTGGGCTCCCCAGTTCAAGAAAGATGAGGAACTCTGAGAGAGAGTTTAGAGGAGAGTGACTAGGATGATAAAGGGACTGGAGCATCTCCCCTATGAGGAAAGGCTGAGAGAGTTGGGCTTGTTTAGCCTGAAGAAGAGAAGACTGAGAGGGGACCTCATCAACATGTACAAATATCTCAAGGGTGGATGTCACAAGGACGGAGCCAGACTCTTCTCAGTGGTGCCCAGCAACAGGACAAGGGGCAATGGGCACAAACTGAAACATAAGAGGTTTCAGTTGAATATGAGGAAGAACTTCTTTACTCTGAGGGTGACAGAGCACTGGAACAGGCTGTCTGGGGGCGTTGTGGAGTCTCCTTCTCTGGAGATATTCAAAGCCCGCCTGGACGATGTCCTGTGCAACATGCTCTAGGTGAACCTGCTTTAGCAGGAGCGTTGGACTAGATGATCTCCTGAGGTCCCTTCCAACCCTTGCCATTCTGTGATTCTGTGAATTGATAAAAGCCTGGTTTTTCCCAAATGGCATTTTCCAGGTTTTTAATAATGAAAATAGAATTTTTGTATGCATTATACAATTAATTGTGCAGCTAAAGATTTAGAAAGTGCAAAAGAAGCTTTAAACATGCCATCAGATTTTTGGAATCAAATAATCTCAACCCATGACAAGACCATCCACATTTATTTACGCACAATCTAATTCAACACTAACTCAACCTAAATACAGATTAACAACAGCATGAAAATTGTTACAGTGGAAGCATTGGCCTAGAAAATTAATACACTACTTCCTTTATTTCTTCCTTCTTTTAGCTTGCAAGGATGGTTTCTTTACAAACTTCGATCATCAACAAATATTTACTAATAAAAATGCACCTCAAAGACCATGAAACTACATCTACCATAATACCTGAATATTTCAGATAACAGGATTCAAATTCTCATTTTCATTGCAATATTTTCAACTACTTAAACACTATCACAAGAAATAATTGAAATCACAGTTCACTCAATACTTTTATATTGTAAGAGCAAGACCAGATGGAAATGGAATACAGTTTTTAAAAGAATAAGGGTGTACTACAAAGGAAAACACAGAATAAGTTAAAGAAGGGTATCACTAACACTTCTGTAAAGCCAAGCTATATGAGAACAACTGCATGTTTCATCACTGTCACTGCAAATTGATTATCCCTCAGACAAGAGAATTCATTGTTAAAAAAACCCCAATCATCTCTGTTTTTCTTGTAAATTCCTCTTTTCATAACCTGTTTGGGTTGTATACAGGTCAAAAGAGAACTTCCCCATTCTGGCAATCCTATTTTTAAAATGAAGAAAGAAATATTACATGTAGTAACTAACTCCTGGCTTATAGCAAACACATAAACAAGGAAAGCTGAACTGTGAAGAGTGTTACTGTGTATCTTATTCTGTGACGGGGAATTTCATTTATTCAAATTTAAGCATCAAGGAAGATGACAGAGGCTTAAAATCATGAGCAAGTGTAGAAGATTTTAAGGTTTATAACTAACAGATCAGTCAAATTAAAATAAGAGCAGGTAGCTCTCACTCATCTCCACACACACTCTGCTATTATATGAAATCACTGAAAATGTCAGATTGGTTTCATTATCTGTAAGATAAACCATATTAAACTGTAGGAAAAAGTCATATATTTCAACATGGACTCACATCTGTGGGCAAAAAAAAAAGAGGTGGGAAGACGAGTGATTCTGACAATTTCTTTGTCAAGTACCAGCCTCTTGGCAAAAAGCACACAACATTAAAATTCACTCTTGCGTATAGGTAGTACTAGTTCACATTTGATTGTCAGATCTGGCTAAGTGCCGCGCTTCAGCTTGATGTACAGACTAATACACACAGCTGGGTGGTATAACACACTGCTCATCTCTTATGCAAGAAGCTGTCACACAGATGTCAAAAACATCAAGCTACTCACAAATACCTCAAAAAAGTGGAGGAAAAAAAAAAAAAAAAAAAAAAGAGAGAAAACCTGAAGATCTGGCTATACCAGCTGGCTGATGTGTAAGTCTAAGCACTGTTACATAAGCACTGCTTATAGGCTCTTCCAACACATAAACCCCTAAATAAAGAATAAAAGTGGCCTTTACTAGGAAGTTGTCAGGCATCTTGAAAAGCATTTTTCTAAATCTGATTTTTACATTTTAAAAATTTTTAACACTGTAACAGTTCATTCAGGTACCAGTATTATGTTTCTTACACTTCAAAAATCAATGTGATTTTCATATATACATTAGTGATACCACTATGTGAAAGACAATCTCACATGCACCATCCCTATAATGTCATCATGCACTCTGCACTGCTCAGGAAACCTTGCAAGTGTTGTAGCTGGGCCTTCAGAAAGGAGAAAATGTCTGCAAATATCCTATTTTGTAGGCTGCTGTGAGTATTAATGGATCTATTACACCTGACATTACTGGAATGAATACCAGAAGCACTAATGCCCAAATTCAGAGCGTGCGATGAACTTCCTGCAGATATTAACAATCTCTGCTCATTTATTAGTAATAAACAGGTTTATTAATGAGATGGCCTGTTGTAAAATTCAGCAAGTGGAATAGTAATAACTGGAATCTCTCTATGCTATACATACCTTATTTTTCTCTAAGTTTATTTATGGCAATAGAAGAAATTCATTTTATGTTACAGAGCAGGAGAAGCCATAGAAACACAGCTAATATACACGAAAGTCACAGGCCAAAATGCAGTTATGTTACACACCTATGGACTGCTATTTCCAAGTTAAGTGGTATAAGGGAAAGACAGGACTTGACGACATTCTCTGGCCAAGAAGCATGACAGTGTAAAAATTTTTGCAGCTGACATATTTCCCTGAAGGGTATCAATACCATTCTCAAAAGGTTTCATTTCGCTCTTAATTGTAAGACAAAAGTTCAATATCTAGGCTATAAGGATTGTAAAGGCCTTAGTGTTTCAAACATAGAATATCCCCACTTAGTTTCAT